AAAATTTTAAACAGACACATAATCAATGGAATAATTTTTTAAAAGCTCAGAAATTAAACCACATTCACACAGCTAAGTGGTTTTTGACAAAGATACCAATAACATAAAGTTGAGAAAAGACAGTTTCTTTCACAGATGGTTCTGGTGAAATTGGATATGTACAGGAGTGGGATAACTCATTATGAATTGTTGGTTAAGGAGGCATCAGAAGCCCCCAAAACAATACAAGCTCTTGCCATTCTTAGTTTACCACCAGAACTAGATAAAGACCCTATTGCTGTGCTGGGTGTGGTAGCACATGCCTTTAATCCCAGCACTTGGGAGGCAGAGGCAGGTAGATCCCTGAAGGCACTATATGCCTTTGTTGCACTACACAAACAAGTCAAACTGAAACTCAGCTGGAAGCTTCCTCCCTGCTGGCTAGTTTTCATAGTTGTAGAAGGTGCTATGCAGGCTGCTATGGGAGAAAAGACATCAACAGTCTTACCTGGCTGTGAACTCTATGAACTATGAGACCAACCTGTCTGCCAAATAAGATGTGGCCACTTGTGCAATAGTGGCACTACTGTTATGGAGATAACCAACCATTGTCTGATTTGAAACCCACCCCACAGGAGGGAATCCATGACTAGGTCATAAACCCATAGCAGGGGAGGTGTTAGGCCCTAGGGGAGAACAGAATACTGTTATTTAACTAAATTGACATAGCATCTGTAATGTATATTATATTAGTAAATTGTCACGTGCTGTTTGAGCGCACTGAGAAGTCAGTTCTGGAAGTGGGATTGTACCCCACCATTTCAGATCCAAGCATTTTTGTCTCAGAGTGTCCTCCAAGACCCTCTGTTTGGGGATGGGCTGGCCCCCCTAACTCTGAGATAGGTAAAGAACAGCAAAATAGTCCAAGAGTTACTATTTAAGCCCCTAAAAGGGCTTAAAGTGGGAAAGAGAAGTTTTAAGTTCAGCTGTGGGAAGCTCATTGGTGGACAGAAAGCTCAACTGAGAAATTCAGGGGGCTGCTTCAACTTCCCCAATCAGTTTCTATTGGCTGTTGTGAGTGCCTGATTTAATGATGTTGTTATCTCGATCTGTTGGTATTTGGTCTTTTATTTGGAAGCTTCACTCAAGGGTACACTCTGCTCTGCCTGGGCCCCTCAATGGGGAATGCCACCTAGCTGAATTAACAGTCATTTCTACTGGATGCTCATAAGCACCCAATTTTATATTACCTTTCTGCTGTTATTTATCCTTTTACTTGGAAGCCTCATGGAGTTCGGGGAGATACTATACTCTCCTGGGGACTCTGTTGGGAACTCCAACAGACTGCCTCAATGGGGCTTCCTCAGTCAGTTTCTGCTGTATGTTTTAAGCACCTGATTTGATGATGTTTTGCTATCTTTTGCTATTTATTCTCTTACATTGGCTTGCTGTATACATAATAAACTCACTCATTCAAAACTAAAAATATGGCAATCATAGTTCATTCTCTGGGCCATAGAGAACAGAATTAAACTGGCTTCTAAATATTCATGGTTATACCTACAGACAAGTGCTACTCTCAGCCTTAATCAGAGATGCCTCTCTTTCCAATGAACAGTAATGAATGCAGAAACTGGTGGCTATACAAGGTGCTGAGCTTAAAAGACAGGTAAGTGCTCAGCCTAAACAAGACATTTATACCATCCCCTCCAAGACTCAGGGAGCATTCTGGAGGAAGGGCCAGAAAGAATGTAAAAGCCAGAATATAAGGAGAAGGGCTGTGAATGCCATCTTCTGGGCAAGACACAGCTATTGCAATCACAAACTCACAGCAGTTGCAGATGTCTTCACTGGGTCTGCACAAGACTGGACCCATCAACAGTTAAAACTCAAGACGTTCAGGTACAACAGTATGTGTCAGAATAAAGTGAACAAATTGGGGCAGGAGGGTAGCAACCAAAACAAAACCATCTGTAACTCCAGTTCCAGGATCCAACAACACCCTCTTCTGACTTCTGTGGGCATTGCACAACATGGGTGCACTTATATAAAACAGGCAGGCAATATACTCATACACATAAAACAAAAGTAATAATAAATTAATGGCTAAATAAATGGAAATGCTTATTACTTTGACTTGATTATTATACATGTATTGAGTTACCATAATGCATCCCATAAAGATGCATGAATATTAAACCTCAATTCAAAATCCTGATTTGCAACACCAAAAAAAAAAGTATTAAAAAAAAACCCTCAATGACCTACTCCAATGGCAAGAAGAAAAAAAGATAAACTAAGAAAATTATTAGGCAGGCTTCTGAGACCCTAAAGGATCCTCCTCCCAGGATTATCAACTACTGCCAAAATGATCCAGGCTTGTTCTTCAAAGTAACCTATAGGGCTAGGTCCTTGCTTTCAAGGATACAACTGCTTTCAAAGTTTTTCCACTCTGTAAAGTTTCCTTCTCTGTTTCATTGTCTTCACCTCCTTAAAAACAACCCCAAATTCCATATTTTACCCAGCTCAGGTCAGTGAAGAAATTAGCTTTAGCTAAAGTTAAATGTACCTTTAGAAAGCAATGCCAAGCCAGAGCATACACAGCCTCACCCTGGGAGAATTTGGGGTCGATTCTGAGAGTCAAAGGAAGTCACGGAAGGTTGCCATGAAGAATAAAGTCACCGTGTTTGTTTTTAACCATTTGCCCTGGCTGGAATGTGATTAGATTGGGAAGGGGTGGCAAATTCAGAAGATTGGGGAGATCTTCTGAAGGCTGCTACTTGCAGTGAATTAGAAGAAAAAAGATGGATGTTGAATCACTTGTAGGGAAAAGCCAAGTCATTTGCTGACAGTGGGGGCAAGTGTAAGGATGCGCAGAGAGCTGGAGACATTCTGAGCCAGTGGGTGGGAAGCCTATTCACATAGGTGGAGGCCACTGGAGAGGGTGAGGGATGTGGCAGCATGGGGAGTACACCAGAGCCCCCTGATTGGTGGAATATTTAATTCATGTGTGACCAGGGAACAAAACAGTATCAGCTAGTTAACCATGCATTTCTTAATTGAGATTTGGATGGGGGCAGTAAGCATTTTTGTATACTTGATCACTTACAATCCTCACTTTGCTGGAGAAATATTTTTGTCACTTTGTAATAGAACAATCTGTGGCTCAATAGAACTTTACAATAGAACTATCTGTAGTTAGGGACTAGATCAAGGTCTCAGAGCCAGAAAGTTAAGAGTTGTGTTATTTTCAAAGGGTCCAGCATCCTACTTGCCCAAGTTCGTCCTCCTTAAAGAGTCCAACAGGGTTTTTTGGTTGGTTTTGGATTTTTTTTCGTCTTTTTGAAGCGGGGTCTCCCTGTAGCCTCAGCTGTCCTTGAACTCACTATGTAGACCAGGCTGGCCTTGAACTCACAGAGATCTGCCTGCCTCTGCCTCCCAAGTGCTACCCGCCTCCAACAGGGTTTTTTAAATGATTTTATTTTTATTTCTCACTTACAAACATGAAGCAGCTTGGGAATTACTGAAGAAAATGTTTTCTGGGTGTAAAAGAACCAATCTGTGCTTAAATTTAACTCTACAAAGAGAAAGCCAAATCTTCGATTTCTTAAATAATAGTTTTATTGTAATGATAGACCCATTATTTTTCTGACATTGTGGATTTTAAGACCTACTTATATTTTCTGATTGCTTAATCTAGAAGCGAACACTTACACCACTCCCCGGTTCCCAGGATGAGACCCGGAAAAAAACCCAAGAGAAACTCGCAAAGACCTTTGCCTTTTCTCTTCAAAATTTGTTTTGAAGAACAAAATACGGAAAGTACACGAAAGCTCTCGGAAGACGTCTACGTGGTTGTTCGCACCCAGCTCTCTCCGAACCAAGGAGACGCAAGCCTCACCTACCACCTGGAAGTACCGGAGTCACTCTAGAAACCGGAAGCTGGCCGAGCTAGCCCGAAGGAGCGGAGCCGGAAGTGATCCGGAGTTAAAGTGACGACTCCGGAATCGTCCGCCCTGAACCTAGGTCGATGGCAACAAGGGACCATGTGGACAACAGAGACTCCCTTACCGGCGCAAGGCAGGTTAAAGGATCAGGAGAGACCAGGAGAATCCTGAGGGCGCAGAGGTGGAACAGGGCGCCCCCAGCTGGCCACTGCTGGATGAAGAAGCAACAGTGCGGTTCATTCATTGAGGCAGTCCATAAAGAGCACTGAAATTTCAGCGTGTTCCTAGCAGTGACCGGTTCAGCTATGCTGAGAGGAAATAGCAGCTTCTGGAAGGAGATCGGACTAAAGACACTGCCGCCTAGGAGTTTCCAAGAGTTTATTGCTGGCCAGGCACGTCATTCGTGACCTAGAAGGGCCACAGCCAAACACAGGGAGCATCTCAGGGACAGTGTAACAAGACCCCAGAGAATAACGAAACCCACGGATGCTCAAGCCCCTTACATAAAATGCCATAGCATTTTAGCCTATGTTAATTCTCCTGCATATTTTAAATCACTTGTTTTACTCACATCAACTAATGCAATGGAAATGTCATGTAAACCGTGACTCTGCTGGGGATGAAGTCTGTAGATGGTCAGCTGACCACAGTTTCCGCTTTTGGAGGCAGGGTCTCACTAGCCCTGGCTGGCCTGGAACTCGCTATGAGAGCAGGCTGGCCTCAGTCTCAGATCCGTCTACTTCAGCCTCCCGAGTGCCGGGATCAAAGGCGTGCGCCACCATGCCTGGCTCACAATTTCTTTTTTTAAAAGAGTATAATTTCCCTTAGCTAGCTGAATTCCGTACGGCAGAACCTGCAATGCCTATAGCTAGGAGCAGAGCAGGGAACTTGGGCGCTAGACCTAAGTGGTGAGGAAGGCTTCCCAACTCCGGAGACTCAACTGGGGCGGAACCCTCACAGTAAGGCGAAAGCAGCAAGAGCCTCGTGTTCAGACTGGAAGTGACTGCTTCCCTAAACAAATATGGCGTCTCTAGCGTCACTTGCCCACCTGCTATAGCCAATAGAAGCCTGAAGTTCCGCTGACTCACACCCGCGACTGCCGCACTGTATGATATGATGCAACGCCCCAGTCTAGGGAGGCTTCAGTACACATTGGAGTAACCCCGTGTTCGTGGTGCAGGTGATGTCCTTGGAGGTGACCAGGGCGACCGCAGGGATGGTACTAGGTGAGTGAGGCTCTGGATATGGCACGCTGCTCCCTCCGTAGAAGACAACTCTGATCCAGCCCACTTCCAGTGTGCTTCTCCTAGTGCCTGGAGCAGCGTGGGCGCACCCCAAGTATGTGGGGCCATGGGAGGAAGGGTCCTAGTTCATCACCTGGCCGCAGACTTGTGGTCCCGACCTGGTTCTGCGCCAGCCTTCTGGGTCCCTGGGCGGCATGGCGGCCGCTCTGGCCCAGCCCCAGCCCCACTGCGAACGTCTCGTGGTGCCGCAGGGACTGGGCGCTGCATGGAGCTCTGACCTACTGCAGCCCCCAAAGTATGCAGTTTTTCAGTTGGTCGTCAGGGAAGGATTTAAGAATTCTAATTCTCTTTCGGACAGCCTCGTTTTCTACTGAGATTTGCAGTAGTAAAAAGAAAATGTTTAAGAGACCTGAGCCCATGTTACATCCCAGACTTCTGAGTTGTGAGGCCTTCTGCTGTTTAACCGCAGAGCTTCGATTTACTTAGAGAAACAGAGAGAACTGGTGTTTTTATTTGATCTCTGCATTGGTACTGAATGTCCGATTTGCAGGTCTTGTTAAAGTTCATCCTCAGTACAGCCTTGTAAGATGGATGTTGTTTTCCTGATGAAGAAATAAGCACAGAAAGGTTAAGTAAATTCCCCCTCTTAGGGTACATTGTCCAATCAAGATATGACCAATTGAAAAATCCTGGCGTTATTATTGGACACTGAAGTATACAGAAGCAGTAATGAGTTAAAATGATGAAAAACTTCATTTAGAAAAGTTTCATAATTCATGATGTTAGGGAATGGGCTAGTCTTGAAAGATTTGAAAAATAGTATTACAAATCAAATGCTTTTTTGTTTACAGAGGGAGAGAATGGCTGATACTTGTAAAGTGTCTGAGAGTTATTGATGAGTGATAAGTAACTTCTTGTCATTTTTTTTTTTTAAAAAAAGCAGAACTATATGTCTCTGATCGAGAGGGAAATGACGCTACAGGAGATGGGACTAAGGAGAAACCATTTAAAACAGGCCTAAAGGTAATGTCTCATTAGGATAACAACTCTGCATTTAGTAATGACTGTCAATGATGTGTGACTTGCCAAAGATTTTGTTTCATTTTTTTGAAATTATATTTATTGGAGGGGCAAGCACATGCCACAACACACACATGGAATGTTAGAGAACAGTTTGCCCCAGTCGGTTCTATCCTTCCATCATGTGGGCTCTAGGAATCAGTTCCTCTTTTTATAGCTATACTACAGCATCAGTTATCAAATCCTCTGAAGTGTCTTCTCTTCTTTTAGGCCAGCTGGTCAGGCTTTGACATGTCATGATTAGGTCTTGCTTTTTTTTAAAAAAAAATTTATTGAATTTTTGCGTATTTCATACAGAGCATCTTAATCAACTCTATACCCTCTTCCCCATTGGTATCGGCCCACAGCCCCTCCCCGCTGGAATTCATACATTCTGTCATTTGTGTTAAGGCCTATCACATCAAGATAGTGTCCCCAGATGTCCCTCAGTGCAAATTCATCCAGTGAGGTCTAATCAGCCCATCTAGAGTCTCTCCCTTTAAGATGTTCAGCTCTTCCTCACCCAGTAATTCTTCAACTAAGATTGGGGCCTGCTGTCCATTTCCACAGTTCTAGGTCTTGCTTTTTAACTCTAAGAGGGAAGTCTTTCTTGACTCTTGGATTTGGAGATGCCTCCTGTAACTGATAACTTTAGGTAAACCTCAGAAGAATGCAACAGCGGAAGTGTGCCCTACTGATTTGAGGAGGGACAGTCTGGCTCTTTCCATATCAGTGGCATACAAGGAAGTATCAGTATATACTGTCAAGCAGTAAATGAATTCTGAGTGATCTACAGATGCAATTGTGTGTCCATGACCAATAGGGATAGATTGTACTCCTAAAACCATAGAAGGCCACATGATATGTGATCTTAGGGGACCATAGTTGGATGTGCAGTCTGTCATTGATTGACACATAGTTACCTGGTTCATGACCATAATCTAGAGACAACTTATTGAGAAAACAGTTCCCTCAGGGATTTTCAGAATATCCACATTCCCTGCTCTGCAGCAGTGAGTTGAACTAATGTCATTTAGGAAAAGTTAGGGGCTTTTTGTTGTTGTAGTTTGGGGAGCAATGAAGGAGATTTATTATTGGTCAATAATAGAAGTTGGAGATAAACTTGAGTCAGCTGCTTGGCCCTTAGAGATTGGGAGGCTGCAGAATATAAGAAATGAGAGAATAGTTTAAACTAATAAAGGAGAAATCTATGCATGTCTTTCCTAGGATTGAGTGGAGGATCTCCAGGTATATGGGTACTCTTGGGTTTTTTTTTTTTGTTGTCGTTGTTGTTTTAATGATTCTTTCCAGGATTGCCACAATGATTGTCAGCTCTCATGGGGGAATGGCGTGTCACTTAGCATGTAGATAGGATCATAATGGAGTTATAGTTGTCCACTGTGGCTCTGGCAACTATTTTAGATCCAACCAGTTAGCCCAGCCAAAGAGGCACTTCTGGCCTCCAGATATTGTGTCTATAAAGATAGATGGGATTAGGGTGCATAAAGTCAGTTATGTTACCTGCTGTACTCTGGAGAGCCAATCCCCACCTGTTTTCACTCATTGTTGAGGATTCAGAAGAGTGATGGTATGGCTTGTGTAACTTCCAAAGTGAATTTGGGCATCCTAAGGGGCCCATGACACCCCCAAGCTTTTGTTCTTTGCTGTGTCTTCTGTGTTAGCATGCCTGTGCCGGTCCTTGTAACCATTTTCAAGCCACTGCCTCTGCTCTGCTCTGCCTGGAGGTCCTGCATACTGTGCAACTGAACTTGCTGGGATTTTCTGTGGCAGGACCTGGGGGAGAGGGTGGGGTGGGGATAGAACAAACCTTCTGAAAGAGGCTCAACCTGTCATCCTGTCTACATTGAGTTTTGCCTTCAAGGATCTTGATGCTTCTTGGCTCTTGGCCATGTTCTAGATTGTTGAAGTTGACTCATGATTCAGGTGTTATTTCATTTATTCAGTGTTATGTAATGTTAAAAGAACTTTTTTTCTCTTCCTACCAAAGGCTTTGATGACAGTAGGAAAAGAGCCGTTTCCCACCATTTATGTTGATTCACAAAAAGAAAATGAGGTAGGGTACACCAAAAACTTTATGAGACTGTATTTTGTGAATAATAAATGTTCATTAGGACATACAAGTGTTGGAGATGCTACATGCCTTTTTTTTTTTTTTTTTCTCCTCTTTAGAGGTGGGATGTTATTTCTAAGTCACAGATGAAGAATATTAAAAAAATGTGGCATAGAGAACAGATGAAGAATGAATCCCGGGAGAAGAAAGAGGTGACTTTGAAATTTGCCGCTGTACACATTTTTAAAGTTACAAGACCGAAACCACGTTTACCAATTGCATTATTTTTAAAATTAGGCCGAAGATAGCTTACGAAGAGAAAAGAACCTGGAAGAAGCAAAGAAGATTACCATTAAAAACAATCCAAGTCTGCCGGAGCCGAAATGTGTAAGTGTGTATATCATTTCTGCTCTTCGTGGGCCTGGCTTCATCACAGTCCTCTTTCTGGGTTTGAGGGGCATGCTGCCATTTCTTGTTTTAATACGTTTTGTTTTTCCTTTTGGAAGTAGTAAAGAGAAAGAATGTTCTAGAGTGGTAAGGTTGGTTCTTTGGAGGTTCATTTTAGTATTGAGATAAGTCATTTTGTGATGAGCAGATTCTGTTCTGATCCAGCTCTGGCTGTGCTGTAATGCGGTAGGCAGATGATTCCACCCCTGTGCTATCAGTGTCCTCAGCATAAAATGAAAAGGTGGAAATCTGTGGGCTTTGTGTTTGGTTTTTTTGTTTTTGTTTTTCTTTTTTTAAATACATAAAAAGATGAGATTGTGCATTCTGGGTGATATGACTCTAGAGCTACAAGCATGAGTGTCTTTTTGGTTGTGAGCTGAGCCCTTACTGGCTGTGCCAAGCTCTGTTTTCCTCCTGAGAGACAGCAGTAGACAACCAAGTGAGGGAAGAACATGAGACTCAGCTATCCAGCCCAACTCTTTCCCAGTTCCATAGCCTGCTACTGATGTCAATCTTGACCAGTCAAGTCTGCTCCGAACTTCCTTCCTTCCTTCTGTGGGATTCTAAGAACTAGTAAATCTTGTCAGATGGGCTCAGAGAAAGGTTTTGTGAGGTATTAAAACACTACAAATATTAGCTGACTGTTAATAACATCTTGCTTTCTCTAGCTTAGAAAAAAAAGAATGTAATCTCATCTGTAGAATAATTTTAAATTCATGTTAAAAATCGTTTGGCCAGTTTAGGTACATGCTTGTCATCCCAGGGACTTGAAAATCTGAAGGAGGAAGATCCCTTGAGCCCAGAACTTGAGGCCATAGGCAACTAAACAAAAGCTACAGTTGTTTGGGGCCTGGGATCTAGTTCAGTGGTAGAGTATTTGCTTAAGGCCCTCGGTTCAGTTGCTGGCTAAAAAAAGAGGACAGGATTGTTCTGATTTAATTAACAAGAGTCCAGTTTCCCTTAAACATGTTGGCCACGGAAGGAATTGCTATCCTAAAACTAATTCAGTGACTACATAGTATCTTTCATTGACAAACTGGTTTATTGCAGTAGTTTTTATATGGCCAGTGATTCTTAGAACCCATGAGTGGTTTCCCCCTCAGCTCCAGTTCCATTGGAAACCACTTCTTCAGCAATATGTCCAATGAAGAAGCAGATCTGAGAATCCAACCATCTCCTGTTGTCAGACAAAAGATTTACAAAGCCATGAAAGTATCATTTTGTTTTGTTGTGAAAGTTAATTTTATTTTATTTATGTTTTTTTTATTATTTTATGTGTATGAGTGTATTGCCTGCATGTAGGTAAGTCCACCCGTGTCATGCAATGCCTGCGGAGGTCAGAAGAGGCTGTGGGATCCCCTGGGACTGGAGTTACAGACAATTGTTAGCTGCCATGTGGGGTGCTGGGATTCAAACCCAGGTCTTAAGAACAACCAGTGTTCTTAACCGCTGAGCCATCTCTTCACCCCGTGAAAGTTAATTTTAATGAAAGTATTTATGTTAATAAAAAATACACAAAAAAACGTATGATTCTGTGAAAGGATTACTCTTCCCTTCTATTTTGTCTGTAACCTGGATTGCTGACTCCTGAAAATGTGGCTTGGGTTTCCATGCTGTTTTTGCTGGCAAATTTATCATCGTTGACCCACATCCCCAGTGATGGAGTCTTTCTTGTTTCCATTCACCATCCCCTTCTCTTAGCTCCTCCCTCCTCCGTCCTCCCAAGTTGTCCAGTGTGTAGAGAGACTGTGAGGTTACAGAAGGACCCCTGCAGGCCAGGCCTGCTCTACTGTGGGGAGCAGGCATTGTACTTGTGACTACTTACATTCATTTGTTGACCGGTTTTCTGTAGCAGTGTCTGAAATATTTCTGAGTGTCTCTCATTGTCAATTTTGTACCAACAAAAACAACTTGGATTTTTTTTTTTTAATCACTCCAGTATAGTAAATTATTTGAATCTTAACCTACAGTAGACTGCCTCCAGTTTTGCATTATTTGTGATTGTTTTAAAAAATATTTTACTACTGTCTGTCAAATATTAGTGAAAATGTTGGTATGTGATAAATGGCATGCTTCAAGTAGTTTTCATTTTAATTTGACAGGTGAAGATTGCTGCGTTAGAGGGATATAGGGGCCAAAGAGTGAAGGTGTTTGGCTGGGTCCACAGGTTGCGTAGGCAAGGTGAGTGGGATGGCCTTGCTTTCCATCTTTTCAATGTTAAATAATCTCGTCTTAGATGAAGATGAACATGAAAACATCTACTTGGGCTTGCTTAGTTTTTTTGGTATGCTGTCTTTTTAAATGATGTAATGATTTGTAGCCTAAATTTGTTCCTATCTAATATGACTATTAAAAGTTTGAAAATTATTTTAAGTGCTCCTTTAACCATTAGCAACCACAATGCAGGAGGTATCTGGTAAATATTTGTCAAATTGAATTTTAATTATTTAATGAGAAGCAGGGATGTGTGTTATAAGGAAGGTCAGATCCTGATCTGAAACTTGACCATAGGATTTTTGTGTGTGTTTTAAAAAAATTTTTTTAGGTTAGCATTCTAGGTTTTCTTTTCTTTTTTTCCCCCTTTTCATGTGCCTGGGTGTATGTTGTATGCATATGTGTGTGAATGTTTGCATGTGTGTGGGTACATGAATGTAGAGGCCCAAGGTTGATGCCTGGAATCATCCTCGATTTCTCTTCCATCCTATGTGTTGAAGCAGGGTCTCAGCCAAACGCAGAGCTCCCTGGTATGCCTGGTCCAGCTAGCCAGTGTGCTCTGGGGACCACCTGTCTGCCTTCAAGGGGCTGGAAGTCTAGGCGAGCCGCCATGCCCACCTGACCTTTGCCGAGTTCTGGGATCTGAGCCCTGCCTGCTCCTCATACTTGCTTGACAGGCATTTTAACCACTGAACTCTCTTCTCGGCCCCAGCTTCCTAATTATCAGTTTGTAACAGTTCACTGTAAATGATTATCAAATCTTTCATAAAGAGAATGGGACATAAATAGTGTTTCTCTTCACTATTTAATGTGCCTTCCTCTGAGTGTTCGACCTTGTTCTGCACATCACATGGGATTTGGGTAAAGATGGCTTAATCCCTCAGCTCATGGCTGGCTTGCTGTCCCATGATCATGTGGACCGTGTGAGGATCATATAAGATTAGAAAGTAGCCCAGCGTGGTGGGCCTTTAATCCCAGCACTCGGGAGGCAGAGGCAGGCGGATCTCTGTGAGTTCAAGGCCAGCCTGGTCTACATAGTGAGGTCCAGGACAGCTGGGGCTACAGGGAGACCCTGTCTCAAAAAGACAAAAAAAAAAAAAAAAAAAAAAAAAAAAAAAAGATTAGAAAGTGCAGTACACAGAAAATGAAATGCTTTGCTAATAGACTGTACAACAGTGTTGCTAGGGATGGCACTTAAAGGGAAGAGCTGTGGAGAGGTTGGGATTCCAGTGTTTTGGAGTTTACTTTTACATAAGATGAAATTACTACAGAGTATTCTGGAGTCCCTTGATACTGGCTCAATTTCTGTTTCTCATTTCTAGGAAAGAATTTAATGTTCCTGGTATTGCGGGATGGTACAGGTTATCTTCAGTGTGTCTTGTCAGATGAATTGGTAAATATTTTCTCATACTTAAAGCCGAAAGTTGTTTTTTTTTTTTTTTTTTTTTTTTTTTTTTTTTTTTTGTAAGTTTTGAGGATTTTAAGATCAGTACACATATTTTAAATTTTTGCCATGTTCACTATGAATACATGTATCAAAACCTGTTATATTATAAGCATAAAAAAGTTTTGTTAATTACACCTCAGTAAAGCTAGGAAAGAAAGCTTTTATTATGAAAAATTTCCAAAACATAAAAACTTAGAATAATGTGAAGAATGTTGCTTGAGTAATTACCCGTTTATGGTAGATCCTGTTAACAGTGTTTCCCCAGATACCACATCTGTAGCAGTGCCCCTTTTCCTTCTCTTTCCTTTATGACCCAATTCATTTGTTCAAGAAAACCTGAGAAATTGCCCTTTAGAGCCTCACATTCTGGGTTTGTGTAGTTCCAGCCTTGTGTTGTCATTTAGCATACTCCTCTGCTAAGCATTTTATAAATGGAAGTGGGGGTTGGGTTTTTTAGTTTGGTTTCTTTGCTTTTATGAAAACTCCATGCACAAAGCTCTGTTCTTTCATTTGTGTCAAGAGGCACACAGTGGCCTATTGTCTTTTTGTAATTAGGGGCTTTAGGTGTGTTACTTACTTTTCTGTTGCTGGGATAAACACTGTGACCAAGGCCATTTATAGAAGGAAGAGGTCTTTGAGCTTACAGTTCCAGAGGGCTGAGTGGATGGGGAGGCATGGCAGGAGGCAGCCAGAGCAGAAAGCTGAGCACTTGTATCTTCAAGCAGGTACAGGAGACAGAAACCCACCCCCAATGACATACTTCTGCCAGCAAGGCTACAATTCCTAAGGGTTCCATGACCCTCCCCAAACAGTGCCACTAACTGACCAAGTGTTCAAATACTTGGACCCTGTGGGAGACATTCTTATTCAGTCCATCACAAGTTATTGCACTGTTGTCAAGTTACCCACCATTTCTCCGGATGACTTTAGCATGTGCTGGTCATCACAAGGTCTGGATATTTTTAAGTGATGAGGACTAGTGTCATCAGTACTTACATGTATGTAAAGGGGAACCTCTGTGCACATTCATGACACATTCTGAGAAATGCATTAGGAAGCTATTTCATTGCACAAATATCAGAGTGTACTTAAATGTAGCTATGATATCATTAGGTAATATGATCTTTTGGGGTGACTGACCATGTATGTGGTCCATTGTTGATAGAAACATGTAGTGCGTGGATGTTTCATAGATCTATCTCTCACAAAATGGCTATTTTTTATTAATATTATAAATCAGTGGTGAGCCAGGGTGGTGGCACAAACTTATATAATCTTAGCACTTGGAAGTAGAGGCAGGAGTTCAAGGCTAGACTTGCTTACATATTGAAGGCCAGCCTGGGCTAAATGAGACCCTGGCTCAATGAACTAATAATTCATGGTAGTCTTATTGTTTATTTTACTAATATTTGACAGAGAACTTATTTGTAAATAATTTCTTTAACTCTCTATATTAGAATATTTCAGTATCAACATGAATAGCCTAATTTGAACTTTGGTTTTTTACAGTGTCAGTGTTACAATGGAGTAGTCTTGTCCACAGAGAGTAGTGTGGCAGTATATGGCATTCTAAACCTAACTCCAAAAGGCAAACAGGTAAATGAGGTGAACTCATGGGGGGAATGAGTAAGGGTTTAGTAGTTCTCCAATGGCCTTAGTGTTTGACTTTTAAAAACTTAAGCATGCCATATTGTTTTTCAGTAAAATGTATACACTACACATTTTGTCTTAGTTTGTTTTCTGTAGCCATCACAGAGTACCACAGACTGGGTAATTTATGAAGAAGAGAAGTTTATTGTAGTTCTGGAGACTGAGAAATCCAAGGCAGAGGGGCTGCATCTGATGAGGGCCTTCTTGCTATGCCATAACTGGGCTGAAGGCACCATAGTGAGAGAATGCATCTGAGAGAGCGATCAGGACGGGGCTGAACTCACTTGTATGGCAAACTCAGTCTCATGATAACTAGCAACTAAACCACCTTTGCGATAGTAACATCAGTCCATTCATGCCGGCAGAACTCTTGTGGACACCTCCCCATGCTGCTGTAGTAGTGATTAAATTGCAGCAGGACTTTGAGAGGGAACAGACAAACGGGCAGAACTCATGTGACCAAAAGAACTCAGGTTTCCAGCCTCACAGAATTACTTAATGATCCTCATGGGTTGTCTAGCCACTTTGCAGCCAGTATAATGTTTCAGTTAGGTAGGAATCAAAACTTAACCTACTGTACTGCAAATTGCAGAAAACAGTAGTCCAGACCCTAGCTGAAGGCACATAACAGTCCAGTTACAGTTACCTGTTGGTAATTACAGCTCAAATGACTACTGTGGTTGTAACTGTTGTCTAGGAAAGGAAACCAATAAATGTAGCATATTAACCACAAGAGGGCGCAAACACTCCTGATTACCCAGAAACTGATAAGAGTCTCAGAGTTAGCATAAAAGAGCCTGTCCTGTAATAAAATGGGATCTGATTTAAGTTCATTGAACTTTCCATGTAAGTAATGTGATTGCAGAACGGAGTGGTTGTCGTGGCATGATTTGCTGTCCAGTGTTTGACACCAAGATAATTACATGTTCTGTGGATGTCAGGCTTTTAGAATGAATTGCTCTCTGTAGACTCATTAAGGAGAATTTTGATTCTCTTTTCTTCCTTCAGATAGTTAGATATCAGATGAATAGCTTTTAATAAAACCTTTCTATTTCAATTTTTATTATTTTTCATTATGTATGTGTCTGTGTGTGGGTACAAGTGTCCCCAGAGGACAAAGGCATCAGATCCCTTGGAGCTGGAGTTACAGGCAGTAGTGAGCCATCCAACATGGGTACTGGGGACCAGATTCTGCCCTCTGTAGGGAGCAGTATGTACTCTTACCCACTGAGCGTCTCCAACTCCACATTTAAAATTTTTAAATCTGGTTAAGTATGTCAATTCAATAGGCAAAGCTAGAAAAATAAACCATGATTTTAATAGTTGTGAGTTTACTCCAGAGCATGGAGTTAGAGTTGATTTTATTTCTCAGTATATGCTTTTCTATTTACAGCGTGTGTGTGTGTGTGTGTGTGTGTGTGTTTACATGAAAAGAAGTATTAAATGTAAAAATATCAATATTAAACTCCGTTCCGCCAGACGTGGTGGTGCACACCCTTAGTCCCAGCACTCAGGAGGCAGGGGCAGGCGGATCTCTATGAATTCAAGGCCAGCCTGGTCTACATAGTTCCAGGCCAACTGGGGCTACAGGGAGACCCTGTCTCAAAAAGAGCCCCCCCCCCCAAAATAAAAAACAACAACTCAGTTCTTGGGTCTGTTTTGGTTAAAGCAAAATTTGGTAAAATTCATAAAATTTTTACCAAAAAATGTGACATAAATTAAAATCTTCAATACTGTTAATTTTTAGTTTTTGTTTCTCCCCTCTGCTTTTTAAAAATATAGGCTCCAGGGGGCCACGAGCTGAGCTGTGATTTCTGGGAACTGGTGGGCTTGGCTCCAGCTGGAGGAGCTGATAACCTGATCAACGAAGAGTCTGATGTCGACGTCCAGCTCAACAACAGGCACATGATGATCCGAGGAGAGAACATGTCCAAAATCCTGAAGGCACGGTGCATGGTCACCAGGTGCTTTAGGGATCACTTCTTTGACAGGGGGTACTATGAAGTAAGTGTGTGTTACATAGCATACTTTGCAAATGATACGTTTGTTCCATTTGGAAACTCAGAACAGTGCCCACAGCAGACCCTGTTTCCTCCTGGGACTAGGTTACTCCTCCAACATTGGTGCAGACGCAGGTAGAAGGTGGAGCCACACTCTTCAAGCTTGACTATTTTGGGGAAGAGGCATTTTTGACCCAGTCCTCTCAGTTGTACCTGGAGACCTGCCTTCCAGCCTTGGGAGATGTTTTTTGTGTTGCCCAGTCATACAGGGCAGAACAGTCCAGAACACGAAGGCACCTGGCTGAGTATGAAATCATTTTATTTATTTTTAGAAAATGTCTTTAGGGAAGAACTCGTGGTATAGATAAATGTTGTTTGTGTAAACCATTTAGTGTATTACAGGTTTAGTGGGAGAACTGGTTAAGAAGCTTGGCCTCAGGCTAGGGATGTGGCTCAGTTGGTGGAGTGCTAGCTTAGCATGCCTGAGGCTTTGGGTTCAATACTCCACATAAAACTGGGTGCAGTAGCATATGCCAGTAATCTCAGCACTTGGGAAATGGAGGCAGGAGGATCAGAAGTTCAAGGTCATCTCACTACATAGTGAGTTCAGGGCCAGCTGAGCTATGAGAACCTGTTTCCAAAGGAAATGGAAAGGAATTTGACCCCTTAGGCCATAGCCAAGCTCTGTTTTCTCACTTCGTTTTCATCCTTCTTGTGCTCAGGCCAGTGGGGTATCGAAAACTAATCTGCAGTGTAGGGAACTGGTTAGAGTACTAGACTTGTACCTTTGTAGACAGTTTCCCAGTGCTCAAACTTCGCTTACGAGAAGCTTAATGTAAAAGAAGAGCAACTCTGACCCAAGGCTTGTTCTTCAGATACACGCACATAGAAGCTGAGTGCCCTTTCCTGACCTTTGAGGACCTCCTGAACCGGTTGGAAGACCTCGTGTGCGATGTGGTGGACAGAGTCCTGAAGTCACCTGTGGCGAGCATAGTGTATGAACTCAACCCGGTAGGTGTAGCGTTCTTCTGGAAATTAAAGAATTGGCTTTTTTTTTTTTTTTTTTCATTATGACAGTGAAATCACTGTTCACCTTTGAAAACTTAAAAGTTGGTAATTGGTAATTGTCAATAATTTTACAGTTTAGCTTCTAGAAGAGGAGGTTCATAGTGTTTTCCATTTTAGAAATATGTATCTAGTTTCCTAACCTGAAATAATCTTTCATAATAATGATTGGTGGGGGTTTTGTTTCTTCTGTATTTTATTTATTGCTGTACATGTGTATGATGGTGGGGGTCCCACCCACGTCATGATTTCAAATGGAGGTCATAGGCTAGAGCATTTGTGGAGTCAGTTATCTCCTTCCACCTCTATGTGGGTTCCAGGGACCAAACTCAGGTTTTTAGCACTAGGTCATCTCGCTGGCCACCTATGTTTGTTTCTTTAAATTTAATTTAATTTTATGTACGTGTGCACACGTGTGCATGTGTATGCAAGTAGGTTTTCTTCTTTCAGGAGGGTTCCAGGGTTGAACTCAGGTCTTCAGGTCTAGTGGCAAGCACCCTTACCGGCTGAGCCACCTTGATAGCCTTTGTTGCTTTTTAAATAAGATTTTTTTTTTTTTAAATTGGCGCACGCCTTTAATCCCAGCACTCGGAAGGCAGAGGCAGGCGGATCTCTGTGAGGTTGGGGCCAGCCTGGTCTCCATAGCAAATCCAGGCCAGCTAGGGCGCAATGGGGACCCTGTCTCTAAAAGAGTAAAAAAAAAAAAAAAAGTTTTTATTTTTATTATATTTATGTGTATGAGTGTATTGCCTACATGCATGTAATGCACCTATGTTGTGCATTGCCTGCAGAGATCAGAAGAGGGTGTCAGATTCCCCTGCAACTGGAGTTAAGGATGATTGTTAGCTGCCATGTGGGTGCTGGGAATTGAACCTGGGTCCTCTGAAAGGCAGCCAGTGCTCTTAACCTCTGAGCCATCTCCCCACTTCTTTTTTAAAGATTTTTTAAAAGAAATATTTTGTTATTTTTATTATTTTATGTGGATGAGTGTATTGAGTGCATTCATGTAAGTGCACTCATGTTGTGCAATGCCCACAGAGGTCAGAAGAGGATTGGATCCCCTGGAACTGGAATTATGGATAGTTGTTAGCCACCATTTGGGTGCTGGGAATCAAACCCCTGTCCTTTGCAAGAGCAGCCAGTGCTCTTAACCACTGAACCATCTCTTCAGCCCAGTTTCTTTTTTTTCTTTTAATTATGTATTCATGTGTGTCTGTAGGTGGGTATGTACACAGGGCTTTTCAGAGGCCAGAATGGGGTGTGCGGCCCCCTGGAGCTGGAGTTACAGACAGTTGTGAGCTGCTCAACGTGGGTGCTGGGAGCCAAAATCGTCCCCTGCCAGGACGGTATTTGCTCTTACCTCCTGCCATTTCTCCTTGTTTATTTTTCTTAATAGCCATTTCAGTGTGTGTATATATATACACACATATATATATGTATATATATATATATTGATCACACTGCATTTTTCATTTTACTCTAGAACTTCAAGCCTCCCAAACGGCCTTTCAGACGGATGAATTACTCAGATGCTATAGTGTGGCTGAAGGAGCACAATATAAAGAAAGAAGACGGGACTTTCTATGAATTTGGAGAAGTACGTATCCCTTTCTTGTTACTGCAGAAGGTCCTGTGCGCTTGAGTAGATCGCCAATTTTGATAACTTAGTGACGCAGAATGCGTCTGCTTCTCCTCAGAATCAGTGGTAATACCAGAACCTAGCTCTTAGAGTTGTCTGCGTTCCCCATATAGTGGACTTCAGAACTGTCTTCTGTGGTGTTCCACAAGCATAAAGAGTGTTCCTTCTTTCACATACCAATATCCTCTCATTCTTCCATGATCATTTCTCCATCCTTGACTTTCAAACTTCTTTGCAAGTGTCCAGGCTAGGAGGGATGCACTAGAAGGCTGTGGGCCCTTTGAAATTACATGCAAAATGCTAGGATTTATGTATATTCCATTCATAGAACAAGTATCTAGTGTGGTCCAAGGGCGTCATTTCCCCAAAAGTAGATGGAAAAAAATAGCTAGTTTTTAAAATACAAAACCAGGAGAGAAGGCCTTAGTGAGGAAGGTGACCTGATGTTCAAGATAAACTCAGCATATTGGTTTTGCTTGGTATATACACTCTCAGCATGAATTTGAGATGTCGCTAATTTGGACCTCTATACATTTAACTGTTATAAGTGTACAATTTGAAAATATTTTACACGTGAAATGTGAGTAGGTACGACTCACTAGAGTTTTGCCTTGGTTTTAGATATATCCTTTTTTTAGCGTAGAGTTTTAAAATCTCTATTTTACAAGTGAAATGTGAGTAGCTGTTACTAGAGTTTTGCTTTGGTTTTATGAAGAGAGCAAACAATATGCCAGGTTGCCACACATCACCCTTACTGTCTTTTAAATTCAGTTTATGATGTATAACAGAATTTTGAACTGAAGTTTTGAGTTTTAGTATACTTAGTACTTAGTGTGATAGAGTGGGGAGAGCACAGCTATAGGGTCTTAAGGTCCCCATCCCCCAGCTGGGCATAGCTCCTCTCTTCTGTCCTGACCTGCTGTGTAAATGAAGGCCAGGAACCCAACTTTTTGCTTTGCCATCTCTATCTTGGAGGTGACATCCTCTTGGCAAGCCCTCTCAGACTAAATGAGGTCAGTCCTAGGCCAGTCCTGGCATAGGAAGCCCTTGTGTAGCCAGTTCTCATTCTGTTACATAGGGCTGTAGCATTGCTGATTGGTCTTCAGGCCTTTTCCAGGTGTGCAGTAATCTCTTGCAGAGCCTGAGTGTGTGAGGCAGATACAGGCTAAGCGAACAGAGTTCTCCCACTCATCCTTTTGTCTCTCTATAGCTGAGAGGGCATTGGGCTTCAGCGACTAGAGTAGGTCATTGCTCAGCTCTGATTCAGTTCTTAATTAAACAAATCAATGAGTCTTGTCCAGCTCTCTCAGTCAGTTTTTAGGGACAGGGACAGGAGTTTCAAGTTCTAACTTGGATTTATTTGTGGTTTACTGAAGGATGTTTTGAGATAGAGGCTGATTTAGCTTGGTTCGTCAATCATCTAACATTTCCTGGCTAACCATACTAGGTGGTGATAATACAAACTTGACATTGGTTATTTGTCTACTGACTTTCTACCATTAAAGGCATAACTGATTTATTATAATAGGAAAGAAGAAAGGTTGCTAACGGGAGTGTTTAGAGATGAGTGTCAGTACCATCCTCCACAGACAGTGCTGTTTTGGAGCATGTGCTGATTGCCTGCAACTTTATGAGACTAAGTGGACTGCATTCACTTGAGCTTGATACTGGGCAGTATCTGGTCACAGAGGGGTCATTTCTCAGTCCGCACACAGCACACTACTTGAGCTATATTGAGGGAGAAGATCTTATTCATTTAATACTTAATTGTGTGAGTTTTATTTCTTTTAAAAAAATTTGTTCCTTACATGAATGTGTGTGGGTTATAGGCTGGTGTGCATTCTTTATGTTGCATTAGCGTAGTAAGGACTGGCTGACCTGGATGAAAGAGCTGTTTGTCTGGATGCATTTTGAGTTTTAAATGCTAATGAAATTTATTTAACCTTAGGATATCCCAGAAGCTCCTGAGAGACTGATGACAGACACCATTAATGAACCAATCTTGCTGTGTCGATTTCCCGTGGAGATCAAGTCCTTCTACATGCAGCAATGTCCTGAGGATCCCAGACTTACTGAATCTGTCAGTTTGTGATTCCTAGAGTATTAGAAAATTTGCTTTTTAAGGGACTGGGAACTGCCATTTGGGATAAGATATATAATATAGCTCATAGCAAATATTTCATAATCTAGAATGACAGTAATAAAGGAAAAAAGTTTTCTTCCCCTAACTGAAGTTTACATATTTTGTTAGAAAATTTGAATAATACTTGAATTTTACATGACCACAGTGATTCCTTTTGAGATAAGAGCTTAATTATAGTTTTCATTTATGTGCCGTGATCATGTCTGATAGACTGGTAATAATTGTGATTTTTTTTTTTTTTCTTTTAACATTTAAAGGTTGATGTGTTGATGCCCAATGTTGGTGAGATCGTGGGAGGCTCCATGCGTATCTGGGATAGTGAAGAAATTTTAGCAGGTTATAAAAGAGAAGGAATTGACCCCACTCCTTATTACTGGTACACAGATCAGGTAAAAACAATTGTTCAACTTCTTTACATTTTTTTTTTCACTGTAATAGTTCTGTGTGCATTGAAATGCTCAGAAGGAGAGAATTCCTCGTAGTTAGTGGGCATTCAGATATGCTGTATTTCACTTCATGGTTATAATACTGGAGCATGAGAATATTGTCATTGTCTCTTTGGCCAAGTTATTTGTTGATTGCTTTTGTAAATTTCCTTACTTGCTGCAATTTTCAAAAAAAAAAATATGTCTTTAGGCCCTCCCAATATCTAGTGCTGTCTTTCAGTTTTGTTTGATTAATGGAGATCCTGACCTAATTTAAAAGGTTGAAGTCCCTTCTTTCCAGAGTGGGTCTTAGTCCCTGGCATAGTTTTCATACTGAATTATTCCTTTCCATGTGATTTATCAAGGCATATTGATTATAGGTTCATTTATTATTGCAGTGAGCTAACTCATTGTGGAAGTTAACTTTTTAACTTTATTAGATAAAATTTTAAACTTATTTATTCTTTCTCTTTCTTATTTAACAGAGAAAATATGGCACATGTCCTCATGGAGGTTATGGCTTGGGCTTGGAACGATTCCTGACTTGGATTCTGCATAGGTATCACATCCGAGATGTTTGCTTGTACCCTCGATTTGTCCAGCGCTGCAAGCCATAACCAGGTCCTCCTAAAGCATGAAGTGAACAGACCGCCTCTCCAAAAGAGCCAATAGTCAAAATCATCCCTTGGTTTTCCGTCGGGTATCACTGTTTCTGTCTTCTCTGTATTTTCTTCCCATTACTATAAAAACTAGACAATGTTACTTAACATGTCCCTTTAATAAAAATACCCATTACAAAGTTTGGAGGAAATATGTGATGTCACTCGTTAGTAATGGAGACCTCAGCATTTTATCCTGATATGAGTTGTAAGTACTATGCTAAATATACCATTTGTAATTGGATAGTTTTTAATTATGGCCTGACATTCCAGTAACTTCATCTTCTTGTTTTTTTTTTAAGTGTAACTGGAATTCTTTATTTTAATGTAAATCTTTAGATGTTATAAAAAACATCTAAAGGGGGAGTCAAACATATGGCAAAAGTCTAGTGTTACAGTGCAGCCAGCAGTACCTAGCACATAGTCATTTACATCAGCTATTAATATTTTCTAAGTTCATTTAGCACTTTTAAATCTGAGTGTATGAATTGGTATGAAAGAACTTATGAAGGTGGAATTGCCTTAAAATGTACAATGAGCAAATTTGGATGAGTGTTATTTAAATGATCCAGAGCAACTCCTTTAGCCTTAGTTCAAGATAAAGAGGTAGCACATGCCTTCAATCACAGTAATCCTAAGGCAGAGGCAGAGGCAGGCAGATCACTGAGATTGAGACCAGTGTGGTCTACATAGCAAGTTCCAGGCCAGCTGGGGCTACCAGGAGACCCTGTCTCAAAAAAGGGAAGAAACAGACTGGGCTTAAGATAAATTAAGATTAATACATCCTGAAAGAATTTGCAGCTGGAATCTTAGCAATTGTAGGTGGCTAATATCATCCCTGCCACATCCTTAGATCATCTGTGCTGTCCTATGAACACACAGCAGGCTTTCTGAAGGACTTTAGTGCAGTTGATTAATTCTCCTATAAATGCATGCCTTGTGTTCTCAATAGGCTGTATTCCCACTAATGAATAAATGAACACTCATAAAAATGCTTTGCTGGCTTATTTTCTCAGAGCCGAACATCTCTGTCTGACATTTCATATCTTTTTAAATGTTTATAGTCTGTCATGATATGCATATGTAAAAGTAGATACTGAATTTTAGAATCACTAAAGTAACATGATAATTAAAAGGAATGATTTTTTAAAAATTAGATACTTGAGTTAGTACTTTTTTGATGATTATTTTAAACATACTATCTTTTATCCTATTTTGCTGCTAACTGAATTGATAGGTGCAAATGGGTCATTTGCGATCTGGTTGGCTTGAATCTTTAAATGAAATACCTGGAGGAGTGTGAGTGAGCTGCAGTTGGGTTCAGCTGGCCGGTTGGTTTGCTCTGTATTTAAGTGAAGAGGTTAGGTTCAGTTAGCCTGAATTTTGACTGTATAAATAGGTTAACAGTTAAAATACTAAAAGAGAGCCAGTATTATGTGAGGTAGGGGAGTCAGGTCATAGCGACCTGGGGCCACTGCAAACCTCATTTTGGGTGCCTTATTCTTCTCACTGTGTGGTTCTCTACTCCAAGTACCACAAATGCCATCCCTCATCTCTTCCAAGGACTAGCTTGCAGATACCTTTGGTTGGTTGTGTTCCTGCCCTCCTGAAGCTCTCCTCGCTGGGCTCCTGTCTCATGGTTCTTCTTCTTTGAACCTGTTGACATTCACATGAACAACTCCCTTCACTTGTCCTTCTGCAGAAGATCTAGAAAACGAGAGGCTGGCACTCCAGCATTCAAATCACAAATGGTGCTCAACTGAGATCATTCAATCTTCATACAGTGATGAAAGCACCTCCTATGAAACATTTTGCTCTTCATCTTTAGTATTCAACAAATTGCAGATGTTGAATACTTTATTATAAAATATGCCGTATATTCAAGGACTTTGCCCCACTGTTGGCTAGGTGTTCTAAACTTTAAAATTCTGTAAATGTATTAAGTATATTTTCCGTTTACGATATTTTCATCAGGTAGGGATGTAACCTCATAAGCCACAGAGCTTCTGGACTTACTATCAGTTTTCTTTAAATGTTCTTCAATCATCTCTAGCAACTCAATTTTCTGCTTGGTTCATCTCCTTGCTGTGTAGCAATTCCTAAAAATATCTTCTTTTAAAAAATTTTATTTTTTTTTAGCTTCTTAGAAAACTTTATTTCACATCCCTCACTGATAGTCTTTGCCCCCATGGTTTCTATAAATCTAATGTGTAGTCCAACCCCTGAGAGGTGGTTAAATGCTGGTTTCGAAGCCTCACTTTTAATAACAGAAGAAAGACATTGTTTAACCCATTTCAGTCACTTGCAGAATGAAGGTAGGTACCAGACCAGAGGGTAAGCAAATAGAACACTGGAACTGAAGTTGGAATCTCTGAATACAACCCATTTTGAGTTGAAGGGTTGTCTTAGATTTATAAAATATCAAAGATAGAAGGGGACTTCAACTTTTACATTGTACAGTTGGGGATCTATAAAGCTCATCAAGTTTTAACTGGAAGCCTATAGCCTACCTTTCCAATCCCACTTGTCCTTCCAGTCATTCCTAGAGGTGCAGAGATAAACCTGGTAGATGCTGTATACTAGAACTACAGGACATAGTCTACAGTTAATTTACATTGATTACCCGGGAGTTTAGTTTTGTTGTTGTTTTGCTGTGTGTGTGTGGGGGGGGGGGGCTGGTAAATGTACCAAAGGTCCAGGGTCTGCAGCTTTGCTTCTGGTTCTGAAAGGCTGTTTGTTGGAAGTGAGGGCCCTGATCATGTAACTTCTACATTTGGATAATGTGGAGCTTCTGATTTCTATGTAGTACTTTGCTTCCTCTCTAAGCATCTTTAAAGTGTCTGCCTAAAGTATCTTCCTAAGTCTTCTCCCAGTGTATCTAATTCAGAGCTCTGCCTCTTAAGAAAAATGGTCCATCTTGAAAAACAATAATTTTTGCAATAACTTGCAAAATAATAATCTCTTACATTTTTTTTAATTGGTTATAAAATTACTTTTTTCCATAAAAATAGCCTTTATTATTTAGGTATAGATTTCTTTCTTCCAGGATAAGTGTAGTAACTATATATACTGTAATTTGTGAAAGTTTTTTTTTTTACATAATTTATTGAGAATTTCATACATGTGTATAAGGTGTTTTGATCAAATCCATGCCCACTTCCTCCCCCTAACTCCTCCCATCTCGCCCCATCACTTTTTTCTGATAACTTCATGTACTCTTTCTTCTTTATTTTTATGGGGCTTTTGGCTACTCTAACATTCCGCCCTCTGAAGAAGTACCCCTAAAATCTTTTAAGGATTAGATACAAGCTCCCAAACACTTTCAACATTTTTGGCCTTTGGAACAGAGTATGTTGCTAAGAGGCCTAAGGACATCTGAGTTTTAGCCAAGAAACTGGCTACTTTTCTTTGGGTCTTTTTTACCCTAACTACCTAGCTAATTCCTACCTCCTATTCTTATCACACCATCCTCTGAAGAGGTTACCCAACATGAGTAAAGAGAGTCCTTGACTGGTGACTGAGAGGAAATGTGAAGGAGAAGTAAAAGTAAGCATAGTTAGTGTTACACATTCTAGGCAGGGGACCAGGAAAAGTCAGGACAGAGTAAATTTTAAATATCCAAATCAAAGTCCATTAGAATTTTTTGATGAGGGATTCCGAAAGCATCCATCTATTGGGTTCCTCCTCATTTTTCTTTTGTCTTCCAAGGCTGGGCTCTAGAGTGGTGGATTCAGGATCTGCTTTCACGTATTTTCAAAGCTGTTAGAGTGGTTAGAATCAGTGTCAGTTCCCTCTCAAAGGCTTCTAGATAGGGGGAGAAAACAAATTTATCAATCATTTTATGTGTATGAGTGAATTGCTTGCATGTGTGTAAGTACACCCGTGCCTGTAATGTTCGTGGAGGTCAGAAGAGGATGTCAGATCCCCTGTAGCTAGACTGAAGGGACAGTTGTTAGCTACCATGTCCATGCTGGGAAGTGAACTCAGGTCCTCTGCAAGAGCAGCCAGTGCTGTTAGCCACTGAGCCACCTCTCCAGACCCCTAAAAATGGTCTTAAGTTGAACTCCATCATGAACAACCTTGTTTATATATTGTAATAGCTTGAGGACCCTGTAAATAATAGTACCTGGGTTTAATCCAAAACCAGGTGAATCTGAGTTTCAAAGATGACCAAGATGGTTTTTGAAAGTTCCCAAGTGAGGCTGATGTAGGGTAAAGATGATAGTCATTGAGTGGCTCCCTCCTAAACTGAGCTTTAAGGCTCCCTTCTTACTAAATACTTAAGTCCTTAACTGTTTCTGTTAATGTCTGTAGTTGAAATGGAAACATTGGAGAAAGGCTGGGTTATTTTAGACTGTCTTAGTGTCAGTGTATTTTATTCAATCCTAGGAAAAGGGGCCATGATGTTCAGATATTATAATTCATAGCATTTGGAAATTGTCAGTTTACTGACTTTGTTTCTTTTGATAAAAGATTATTTTGCAGACTTAACTAGTATGCTGGTTGGGCAGAGAACATCCCTATAGAATTAAATTTGATCAGAATCTAAGTAAGTCATGAGTCAGACACCAGTTTTAGAGTGAAAATTAATTTTTGTTTCAGATGTAACAGCAGCATACCTGCTCAGAGAAATGGAGGTGCTCAAAGTTCTATTCATTTAGAAATGTGCGGAATCCATGTTGCAGAATCACATGCTTGGGTTACCTCATTGTCCAGGTTTAGACATTACCTGTTGTTCTATGGAAGGTGACTGCTTCTTTCCCATCTGTACCACTCACGTGTACTTCTCCATATTTTCAACTTCAGTAAATTGTAATTTCAGTTGGATGTGCAGTAAACTATAATTACTTTTCCTTTGCTGCATAACTTTTTGTTTTCCTTACATTTATTAGCTGTCTTCTTTTCCTTTATCACTGATTCAGTCCCAAAAGACATTTCAGACATACAGGTACTCTTTCTGTTACATCTTTCCATCAAAGTCTCTTCTGGCTCTCCACCTGCTTTTATCAGAGCCAGTCACTGTCTTGGGCACAACTGTGTCCTTGGGTCTTATTTTACTCCTACGTCCTGGGTATTCCCTTGCCTTACTTCTGTATGGACCTCCTGTTTCCTCTATGTTACGTTTAATTGTTTCTTGGTTTACTTCCTATTTGTGCTTGAGTATATTTTCTAGTATTTTCCTGAGAAAGGATTTGTGAAAGGCAAATACATGGGAACTTCTCACATCAGAATTTTGGGTTAGAAAGTATTTCCCCTCTGAAGTCTTGTAGTCTCTGATGTTGCTACTAAGGATTTATAAGGCTTTTGCTTTTTCAGGTGACCTGGTCTTTTTCACGTGGCCTGCCTTTTTGGGAAACTGGTCCCATTGTTTTGAAATTTCATTATTCTTGGGATTAGCCATCCATCCTGATGGGGAGTTGGTGAACTGAAGATTTTTGTTTTAATCTCTCTCTCTCTCTGCGTGTGTGCGTGCCTGCGTGCGCGCATACTCTCATTTGTAGGTCACAAGACAACCTCGTGCATCAGTCCTTATCTGCCACCTTATTTGGAACTCACCATGTAGACCAGTCTGGCCTCACAGTGCTCCGCCTGCCTGCCTCTGCCTCTGGGAGTAAAGGCATGGGCCACCATGCACAGCCCCTTCTTTATACTTTTTATGTTCAGTCCACATCTCACTAGGTTTCCCTGGCTACCGTTGAACTAACTCTACATCCTAGGCAGGACTTGAGCTTGCGTTCTTCATGCCTCAGCTTGAATTACAGGCCTTTGCCACCAGGCTCTGTTTGGTGGGCCCTTTAGTTGTGAAAAGTTTATTAAATTGTTTAATAAAGGGTCTCCTTACTATATTTTCTTTCTACAACTGTTATTTAGACATGAGAACTTTTCTTCCCAACTTCCTTTTACTTACTGTTTTTAATGTAGTATATGTATGGGCATGTGTATGTGGAGGTCAGAACAACCGTGGGTTTCATCCTGAGAAATGCTTACCATTGA